TAACCGCCCCCTCCGCTCATCCCAAGACCTCCTGCTTTCCATCTCCTCATCCCCTCCTCTCATGCTCGCCTCCAGGACTTCTCTAGAGTCTCTCCTATCCTATGGAGCTCTTTACCCCGACCTGTCCATCTATCTCCCGCCTTGACTGCCTTTAGGCGATCCCTACAGACTCATCTCTTCAGGGAAGCCGATCCCACCTCAACCATTCATCCCCACACAGCTCCCTCCTCATGTATCACTGGCCCCTCCCCTATTAGAGTGTAAGCCCTCAGGGGCGGGGCCCTCCGTACAATGGTGTCTTCCTTATATTGTTCTGCGCTGCGCACACTGTTGGCGCTAAATAAATCCGGTATAATAATATCATTCACAAAGATGTACATTCAGCAGAGAATGCCGGCGTGTGTGTGGGCGGAGCCATGGAGGCTTACCGTCTGCAGGGGGAGGAGGTGGGTGGAGCCAGAGAGACGGGTGGAGAAAGAGAGATGCGTGGAGCCAGAGAGATGGGTGGAGACAGAGAGGAGGGTGGAGACAGAGAGGGGGGGGGGGACACAGAGGGGGGGGTAGATGGGTGGAGACAGAGAGATGGGTGGAGACAGAGAGGTGGGTGGAGACAGAGAGGTGGGTGGAGACAGAGAGGAGGGTGGAGCCAGAGAGATGGGAGGGACCAGAGAGATGGGAGGGACCAGAGAGATGGGAGGGACCATAGAGATGGAAGGGACCATAGAGGTGGGTGGAGCCAGAGAGATGGGTGGAGACAGAGAGATGGGAGGGACCATAGAGGCGGGTGGAGCCAGAGAGGAGGGTGGAGCCAGAGAGATGGGTGGAGACAGAGACATGGGAGGGACCATAGAGGTGGGTGGAGCCAGAGAGATGGGTGGGACCAGAGAGGAGGGTGGAGCCAGAGAGATGGGAGGCACCATAGAGGCGGGTGGAGCCAGAGAGATGGGAGGGACCATAGAGGCGGGTGGAGCCAGAGAGGAGGGTGGAGCCAGAGAGATGGGAGGGACCATAGAGGCGGGTGGAGCCAGACTTACGCATTTCATCTCCCGCTCGGTGAATATCCTCTGCAGCAGGAAGATGCGCAGCGGGACGGTCAGGATCAGGACGAAGGGAAACGCCAGAGACGCCGCCGTGGACATGACGACCCAGAGCACCGCCAGGCAGAGGAACTGCAGAACCGTGAAGAGATGCATCCGGAGGGAGCGCACCTGGAGGATGACCATGACACTCAATACAAGAACCAAAATCTGCCCCTCCCCCATCCCACCCACTCAGCGGAGAGCCAATCATGGTGATGTCATATGTGCGCACCTTCTTCACATACATGACGTCCGGGTGATGTTTTGGGGGTTTTAGCAACAACTTAAATCGCTCGTAGAACTGGATTCCATTCAGCGAGGTGACCCCCATATACAGGAAGATTCCAAAGAGGACGGCCAGGGGGATCTGACGGAGGACGTCCCCAATCACGATGGAGAGACCTACGGGGGAGAAGAGTTCACAGTGAGAGCCCCGAGGATGAAACATTCTGACCCCTCCCCCAATACTGAGGGGGCCCCCTTCTCCTGACCCCTCCCCCTCCCAATACTGAGGGGGCCCCCCCTTCTCCTGACCCCTCCCCCTCCCAATACTGAGGGGGCCCCCCCCCTCCTGACCCCTCCCCCTCCCAATACTGAGGGGGCCCCCCCTTCTCCTGACCCCTCCCCCTCCCAATACTGAG